GAACCTGACTAGTAACCAGACTTGCACATTAGGCATCTCTCTGTGACTTTCGTAATGTGAGAGTCTCTGCTCTACAAAAATCGGTTGCTTTTGAGTTGACTTAGACTCATGGCAACCCCGTGTGTTGGAGTAGAAGTGAGCTCCATAGGGTTTTCTTGATTGTATTTTTTTATGGAAGCCGATTGCCAGGTCTTTCTTACGTCTTCATTGGTTGGGCTCAGTGTTGCACACTGCTCCTCTAAAAGAGTCACTTTAATGTTTCAACCTCGCTCATGTATATACTCTTTAGTATTTGCTGAGACAGATGATCACCATTCACCATGAAGGGTGATGAAAATGCAGGTATAAAACATCTTGCAGAATCAGTTCTGGGGTCATGATGACTCCACCATTTATATAACCTTTGTAACCATGGACAAGTTATGTAACCACTGTGCTTAAGTTTCATCATCTATAGACAATAAATAAGGAAAACTACCTTGTAGATATAAGAAATGGAACGGCACGTGCAGAACTGTCCATGCTTGCTACATATCTGTTGTTATTAAATGTGGCCAAGTAGATTCCGACTCATAGCGGTTTCCAGGGAGTGGCTGGTAAGTTTGAACCGTTGGCCAGGACTACAGCATACAATAAATGATACACATTACTATTGCTGCCACTATTAATAGCAAAAGGATAGATTGATTTTGAATGCATATTTTGTATGTAATTATGTGTAAATACGGTGCCTTTTTATTACTTTCAGACTTTAAATTGTTGGTAATATGTTGCCAAGGCATTATCTTTGCAGAATTAGAAGAATAAAATGAGCTAGAAACTGGGAGGATCCTTCAAGACCTAGTAGTCCAACCCTCATCTGACAGATAGGGAAACTGAGGCACATCGAGTGGAAGAGTCTTTCCCAAGGTCATGCAGCTGATCATTGGCAAGGATAGACATCAGTGTTCTGACTCCTATTGCTTTCAAGGGTTACTTAGCAATTGTTCTTTATTATTGGCCTAGAAACCTCAGACATTTAGATCCCCATTGCTCAGGCAAACTGTTGTCATAATCCATGTGACAGCCTAGATTGTATGTTGAGTCTTGTGAGCAAGGGCTCAGCTGAAATAGCCAGTGGGTGATGAGGATGCCCACCAGGGGCAAGTTATTGTAGTGGAGAAGATAGGGGACCTAGGGTGAGACCTGATACTGTCCTAGGAACTTGGACAGACTATTTAACTTCTGATATTAAAGGAGTCCTGGTGTGGCACTGTGGGTTAATGCACCAGACTGCAAAGCCGTTAGAACTGCAAGGTCAGTGATTCAAGCTCACCAGCTGCTCCTCGGAAACCCTTTACAGGGTCACTATGGGTCAGAACCGACTCAATGGCACTTAACAACAACAACAACATTAAAGTGGTGATCATGGCTTCTGTCTGTTCTCTGCCTCATTGTATGATTATAAAAATGCAAAAGGTGAGATGCTGTTTTAAAGTATAAGGTATAATTACATAAATGCCAACAGTGTCATTGTTTGGCAGAATAAAAGGACCTTTTAGTTGTTGGTTTCAATATGCTATTGTTGTGAGTCAGTCTTTTTTTAGAAGACTCCATTTTCCTGCCTTAAATTATTAACTGTCGTGCTAACTAGGGAAGATAGCAGTTTAAGCACAATTATATAGTATTGCTATAGCAATATGGCTCAGTGGAAATGAAATCATATGTAGTAATTGACGTCATGTGAGTTCATTATATTTTTTTCTATATAAAGCTGTTTTATGGCATTTTTAGCTTCATTTTATTGTGGGTACTGGCAGCAAACTAGGGATAATTTATGGCAGCACCTTGTACAGACAACCGTCTAACATCATCCCAGCATTATCTCAGACCTATCCCTTTTTCACAAAATTGAGATTCTGTTATGGGTTAACAAAAGAATGTTTTGCTGTCTGCTTGAAACCTTTCTTTATAAAAAGTAAAATAATGATGAGGTTACACAGAATTCTCAAGAACGAATAGTTCTAGTTAGAAAGCCATGTCACTGTCTGGAGGAAGCTGGTGTTTAATGCTTGCCATTGTAACATCTGTTTAGAGATTAGATGTGATCGGCTCTGGTTTTGAGAAAAAAAGATCAAGGAACGAACAGTCATACTTTGTGGAAGAACTGATATCTTTATAATGTTGAGTCTTTGAGAAACACATCTGTGTGTTTATTCAAGTCTTTTTTATTTAATAAAGCTTTCCAGGAAAAAGATGTTTTCCGTAGTCACTAACATATCTACAGTTTTCTACGACCACGAGCAGTGGTGTTGAACTACAGATCAGTTCAACAATAAAACCAGTTCAATAGTCACAGATAAACACATTAATTCAAAAACCCTAAAAATAACAAATCCTTAAAGGACAACTGAGATTTCAGTTCTGTTAGCTCTATCTAACTACTTACAAAGAGAAGATACATAAACTCTTCAGAGATACATACCTTTTTTTTTTTTTAAGTTTTTATTGTGACTTGAGTGAAGTTTACATGGAAAAACATCTGCTTTGTACTCATCATATCATATTTTGTTTCATTGCAATTATTACAATCGCCTCCATTTATGATCATTTAACAGTATTTGCTTCTAGTCTCTCTCTTTTTTTTTTTTGTATGTCCACAAAAACACTCTGGAATACATAATCATTTAAACAATCAAAGGGTACATTCTGGCTGCCAGCACACAACCTTTCTCTTAATATAAGCCTAGAGTCCTCAACTGCTCTTATCTATCCATGTCATCATCTCTGCCTCCATCTCTGGTGACACTGCTCTCTCTGGTTAGAGGGTCCCGCTTGTGTTCTTCTCTCTTGATGGTCCTAGGGTCCTCTGTTCCTGGAATGTAAGATTAACTACTCTCCCCTTTATGTTACAAAACTTCTACCTTTACAGTTGTGACAAGGTACATAATCATTTTTAAAAACATGTTTTGAGGTTTCTTTTCAGGTAATCAGAACTTTAAATTGTGATAGAGTCTCAACCATTAAGGAACATCTGAGAATAAACTTTTAAAAAGCCAAAAGATGGCAGCTAGCGGTTAATAACTCTATCTTTTCATGAAAACATAAAATATACTACACATTTTCACTGTTTTTAAAATGTATTAGCGTAAGATTTAGTTGTAAATATAGAGGCAACTATATATTTTGTGGAAGTCACATTGTGAAGTTATATGTATATATTGTTAGTAAGTGCCGTCGAGTTGATTCTGACCCATAGCGACCCTGCATAGGGTTTCCAAGGAGCAGCTGGTGAGCTTAAACCACTGAAATGACTTTGCAGTCTGACGCGTTAACTCACAGCACCACACATTGTACACTGTCGTTGTTGTTAGTACCACTGAGTTGATTCCAACTCATCACGACCCTGTATAGGGTTTCCAGGAGCCTGGTGAGTTTGAACTGCCACCCTTACAATTCAGACTGATCCATGGTCAAGTGCTTGCCCTGTAGTGCCACACCAGGACTCTTAAATACACTAGGGGCTTCAAAAAATTTGAGAACAAATGAAATTAAAAGACGATGGAATTTTCCCACAAATTTTTTTTAAAAGCCACCTCATATAGCATATGGAGTCCTGGTGTGGCACTGTGGGTTAATGTGCCAGATGCAAAGCCATTTGAACTGCAAGGTCAGCAGTTCAAGCTCACCAGCTACTCCTCGGAAACCCTATACAGAGTCGCTATGAGTCAGAACCAACTCAATTGCACTTTACAACAATATATCATCTATATAGGGAGTTCTGGAGCGGGGCTATAGGATAACCGCTGGTTGATGGTTCAAAGCCTTGAGCTGCTCTTTGGAAATCCTATATAGGGTTGCTATGAGTCAGAACCGACTTAACAACAACAGCATAGCTATAAAGCTCCTAGAAAAGTATATGTTGTGTAGCAGGCACATGGCCGAGCAACATTTTGTTCTGTTAAATATATGCTCCCTATGGGCCGGAACCTTTTCAGCGGCTCCTAACAACAGGTGTTCAGTAAACGTCGGACTTGATCTGCAGATAACTTATTTGATTGCTGAGCTATAAAGTCAGATAACATCTTGTTGTTGTTGTTGGTAAGTGCCGTCGAGTCGGTTCCGACCCATAGCGACCCTGTCTAGGATTTCCGAGGAGCAGCTGGTGAGCTTGAACTGCCGACCTTGCAGTTCAAACAGCTTTGCAGTCTGGCGTATTAACCCAGAGCGCCACTCCAGGACTCCAGATAACATCTTAGAGCCAAATAATTCCACTTTCTCAGAGCCAGTGGTAGTGTAGTGGTAGAATATCTGTATATTCTGTATATCTGTATGTAAGTGGCCCAGTGACCACTTTCAGCTGCAGTACATTCTCAGGGGTCTGAGTGCAAGTAGGCAGCTGTTTTACCTGCTAGGGAGAGAACTTTTTGATATTCTGGTATTGCTTGTATAATTTAAGTAAAGAAAACAAAAGCTGAAGGAGAGAGCTTTCTAAAGCTTTTGTTTCAAGTGTCCACTGTAGAAATCTGGTATCTGTTGTCACGTGTGTGAAATTGTGGGGATGGCCACCCAGCAAGCACACTGACAGTGTCACCTTGCTAGGCTGGCTAGCTACTTTTATGACTTACTCTATTCGTTTCTGTATTGTTTGATGTTCTGTCAGTGCACACATATTGGATCACAACTTCCAACATTAGATGGAAAGGCCCTCTTTTATTACGCGTATTCCCTTCAGGGTATGACCTTTTCCTGTTTCTCAGCATCTCAGCAAAGAAGGACGCATAGGCATAGCTTAGTCTTCTGAGGGTGTCTCCCTGTCACAGGTTCAGTTCTGCATTCTCTGGCACATGTTTTTACGAATGTGGCCTCTTTTTTACTGGAGCAGATGCTGTGTGTCCCCTGTCCTCTTGCTGTGGTGGAAGAACTTTCTCTGACTGACTGACTGACAGACTGCTGCATCAGCACCAGTTCATAAGGAGAGCCTCCTTACAATGGTAACATGTATCTCATCCACTTCTTAGGATGTGTACAAGCCCCGTCGGAAATATAGACGCCAACAGGGAGCAGAGGAGCTACTTGATGAAGAATCCCGAATCCATTCTACACTCTTGGAATACGGCAGGTAATGAAGGAGAACCTGTCTAGATGTTGATTTCATAAAACCCTTTGACTTTAATCTGAATGCATCTACGTTTTGGGGCCCAGAGATTTCCAACATCAGGTATTCTTCTTTCAGGTATTGGATAACTTAAGTTACTGTGGTAGCTTCCATGACAATGGTAGAGGCCTGGTCTTTGAAGTTCCTCTGTGGAAATTTGTGTGTAACTGTGGGCCTGGGCTCTGCCTTCCTTGAGGAGTCGGGCTGATAGGGCATTTGCAGAGGCTGTGGATTGTCTGCCTTTCATACCTCTGTCTTTGTTAAAACTTTCAGGTAAACTAATAGAATTGAAACAGTTATTGCTGTTTTGTTTTATGTGTTAAAGTAATGAATTTGATTTCCTTAGAGGATTGTCTTGACAAGGAAATGAAAAACTTAGGAGTTTTCACATTTCTTAAAAGTATCTCTGATTTTTTTAACAAAAACAATTCTTATTTTGATAACCCCTAACTTTTATTTTATAAAAACATCAAAGATAAACCAAACAAATTGGTTTCCCAACTGAGTTTGTTGGTTGACACTGGTATTAACTTTTGTTTGTGTCCTGCATTTTCCACTTAGGGTAAATGATACCTGGATGTGAGTATGGCTCCGTGAGCTTCTTTCTTCTGTCCTGAAAGTGGTTGCTGTGTGCTGCTTGCCTCATAATCCAACTTTTGTTGGGTGGCTGGAACTAATAGTGCTGTCATTAGCATCTTCCTAAGGGAGCATCTGATGGCTTCTCCCTCCAGAGGAAATTAGGCTTAATTCCAATTGTCCATTGACATTGTAGCCACCGTGGTTTCTTTTTGTGGAGGGATGGTTTGAAGTCAGATCCATCCTTTCTGACAAAAACTAGTTCATGTAAAAGGAAGTCAACTGGAGCAAAAGAGGAAGGAGAGTCAGAAATTGGAGGAGGGTATGGAATGTGTGGCTAGTTGCCTCCATGAACAACTGCCACCTCTGCCATGAGACACGAAGTGGTAGGTACCCGGCTGCCATTACTGAATACTTTGATCATAGATTCCATTGAATAATCTTGATCAAGAGCAGGAAAATACAGAACAGAATTTCACATTTTCATGGAGGCATGGAGGTTGGATGGACCTCCGAAACTGTTGCCCTGAGAAACACTTGTAAACTTAAGCCAAATATAGCCCCTGAATCATCTTAAAACCAAAACCCCCTGTAATTTAGCTTAACTAATAAAAAAGGTCTGCTTTCAGCAATATGCTCTTTTATTGTTATCTATATGGGATCAAATTGACAACAACAACTCGAAAGATGAGAAAATAACTTTAGAGGGCAGTGAGTTGATGTTAATGAGGAAGGGTCAACTCAACAAAGGAAGGTGAGAGTATGTGTACAACTCAAAGAACATCATCAATGTCTCTAAATTGTACACGTAGAAATGATTGAATTGACGTGTTTTTGCAGTGTATATTCTCAGTAACAACAAAATAAAATTTAAAGAAAGAAAGAAAAAAAAAGACAGCTGAGTTAATTCTTGTGCATGGCCAGCCGTGTGGCTGTCCTAACAGCTCACCAGTGACGTCTGGTGACTCAGTGCCTCCTCTGAGTCAGGCACTGTCAGGCTCAATGCAAAATGAAAATGCAGGACTCTTGTTAAAATACTAGGAATTTCAAGACGGTGACAACAACCAGAAGTAGGAATGGGGTCTGTGTACCTGGGCAAGTTGCTGGTCCTGGGCACTAAGATGGGCTCTTTCTAGGCCACCCTCAGCTGTACTGGGCAGGTGAAGCTGTGCATGTGTGGGCAGGCCAGAGCTGGAGAGCTGACCCCTGTGGGTGCCACATGTTCCAAAGACAAAGAGTACTTAGGGGAATGCTGTGGTTTTTGTGTGGCTTTTTTTTTACTAATAAGTCTCTTTTCCCCATTATCATGAAAAATCATGCATTTCTGAGGGTGGAGAGAAGTTGGAAATTCAGTAAAATAACCCACCTGACTGAGACCATGTTGGCATTATTTAAGAATTTTGTTTAGAATTTCTGAGTTTCAAATAGGGCCTTTTGCAAATTGTGTCCTAGGTGAACATTGTTCCCACCATGTGAAGGCTGGGTAAATTACACTTCCCTGCCCTTCCTCTGAGTCCTGGTGTGGTGCTGTGGGTTAATGTGCTAGACTGTACAGTCGGTTTGAACTTCAGGGTTGGTGGTTCAAGTTTACCAGTTGCTCCTTGGAAACTCTCTACAGGGTCACTATGGGTTGGAACCGACCTGACGACACTTAACAACAACAAGCCCTTCCTCTGGCTTGGCTCTCTGATATACAGGAGTGTGGCACATGTTTTGTGTGTGACTCCTCTCTAATTCGGAGTATGAGACAATAAGAGTGTGAACATCAATTTCAGATCCAACTAGTGGGTTCTGCTGATTTCCAAGCCTAAGGTAGTTGCTTGCTAACAAGGTGTTTTTTTTAAGGGAGAGACTTTTTTTTTTTGCTTTGTTTTTAGCTTTTGTGGTAGAGAATTAACTTGTGGGGATATGAGGTAATTGAGTTGGTACTGACCCATAGTGACCTTATGCACAGCA